GGAAGCGTAAGTTAGGTCACCGACCTTTCGTTCTATACTTAGAACAAGTACGAGTTTGGCAATTGCAATCCGCTTACTCCAAGAGTAATTATTGCCTTAACACAAGGCTAAATAACTCTTCCGTTTAGATCCAAAACTGACTTTATTTATTTTTTATCTGCGGCAAAGCCGCCTTTTTTTAATGTTTAGATTTTCCTAAATATATAGCAAAATCTAAATACATGCATACCTACTGGCTACCCAGCCACGTACCGTATTCTTATTTGAGTGCAGTCACACCATGCCCATCTCGTATGACACACACACCTGTTACCAGGGTACGTGTAACCCCGTTACAAACCAAGCGTCGTGTTTTATAGTACAAATGGACGAGCTCTACGTGTCTCTTACTCAGAAATGTGCGGACGACAAATAGTGGGTACTTCGAAGTAACCATATGTTTGGAGGCTTGTGGATAGAAATCCACTAGCCAGTTTAAGGCTAGATTGTCGTTCGAGTAGGCAACGAACAAAGGATCTAAGTGCACTTTCCATTATACTCTCTCGGACACAAGTCTGCGAAACACTTGCAAAACGTTTTAGTATCCTTCGACATTTACGCGTGACAACCGAACTATAAGTAATGAAATAGCCACACAGACCAAAAATTTGTTTCAGAATGACACACACACCGATCAAAATTGCCTTATATATATCATTGCCCATGTCAGACTTGTGGTTCAAAGCATTCTGAGCGATCTCTCGAGCTTGATTACTTTTGCATCGTAAGTCCTCGCGTCGCACTTGTGCCGACACTCGAATGCGTTCCAGGCATCTTTATCGCCGATCGTATTTCCTTGCAGCTTTTGGTAAATGGAACCAGATTATACATACACCTGACCTGCTGTAAATCGGCAGCAGGTCAGGTGGATGTTGAATATATCCGAGGCCACAAGTGATTGTCCGTTCATAATGGACAATATCCCCGAAGTTGCTGCAAACTGTGCTGTGGAGATATGACATATTAGTGTGTGCCTAATACTCCGGTTGCCGTCGAGTGCAGCTAACGGCTTGTTTTTCGCTGACATGATGTTATATTTGTAGCGCCGCCTCTATCAAATATCATACGTACGCCTTCGGCTGCATATCGATCGCGCTTAAGTTTTCGACGCTGCAAGCCGTGCGCTGTTATTCGCTAAAATTAACCGTGATTGTATGTAGTACTTACTGTCATACTGTTTATTGAATCTATATAGAAAATCTCATAAAATACTCTCACGAACCTCTATGGATTTGGGTCGTGGAGCGAAGAGTTGAGCAGTACCATGGAGGTGAAAGGTTTGCCATGGATCCAGAAATTGGGGAAGACGAACAAGGTGAGGTAAATATTACCTCCAGAACACCCGTATTTGTCATTTTTTTTTCAGTGTGTCCTGCTGCAGAAATCGTAAAGTTCATAATTTTTTAATTGGTTAGAATTTTGCGGAAATAAAGAATTTTCAAGAACTACTTCAACCTAATTTTAGTATAGAATCTATTCTTTTGATCAGCACAATCGCCAAAGTCGCGTGTTAATGCTGGAGATTATCGAGAATCAGCGTTGGTACCCTATACTGGTGCGTTTGTATCGCCATATAGTTTCGCGCTACTTATGCTTAAACTACAAGCAGCGATATTTGTGTATGTCTATCTTTTTCGAACTACACGTTTTCAAATGCTGTTGATGTATTCAGGGCTGGTCGGCGCGGCTGCACGCGGACGACCCTCCTGCTTGGTGTACTACTAATCAAGAGAGTTGTCTTAGTAAAGATGAGCAAAAGGATTATGTGTGGACGGTCTATAAGGGCGTAGATTATGATAAAGATGGCTGGCTCTATGGTGAGCTATTTAACGACACATTGGGTCAAATGACACGTTCCAGTGTCGTTCGCGCACGAGTTTGGATGGGCAATAAAAGAACAGAGCTCACGGAAGTCAACGACCAATCTCATGACGATATTTCCCTGAGAATTGCAAATAATTTAGGTATGGTCGACAGCAACCACATGCCCATTTTGGATACCAAGAAAAATGAAGAAACAGCAAATTTAAGCGCAGAACAAAGTTGCGAAACGTTGGGTGACTTGACCACAATGGTTGGAAAGGACAATGTGGAAATGGGCATGGCAGGTTATTCCGATAAAGGATTGACTACACCGGCTGGTGCGAAAGAGGATAATACGAATAGCGAGGAACCGAGCTATTTAGGATTTTTTGGTAGATTTTCGTCGGCTGTGATTTCTTTGCCATCATCAGCGATTAGTTTGGCAGGATCGTCGTCAATGCAAGCAGTTTATGGAACGGTGCAGTCCATCAAGGAAGCATCAGTATATGGATTGGAGATGGCGCAAGCAGCAACAGCTGCTGCAATTTACGTGGAGCCACAGGCCTTGCCAATGATCAAGTACGATTCGTACGAGGAAATTCAGTCGATGCTGTCTAAGCGTTTTCCTGACCTATCTCCGGTTGAACGATCCTTGGTGACGTGCTGCAAAGATAGCGTCCCAAAATATGTATCTCCTCCCGAAGTGACCGAGTCAAAAAACTGCAAGGAATGCAACATAGAGTTTGGCATGACAAAATTTCGCTATCTATGCGGCTATTGCTGTGAGTCTTTCTGTCGAGATCATTTGCCTGAATCAGCAATTATTCGCGCCTATGGTCACATGACGTCGTCAAAGTTATGCAAGAATTGCCACTACATTATTACAGAAAAGATTGATCGACAGCTCGTGCAGTGGCGCATTGAACGTGTAAATGATTTCTTTGTCGACAAGCTCATTCCGTATTACAACACAGTCACAGACACCGCAGTTGACAAGATCATGCGTGCAGCTGGCGGAACCCTCGTCGCTGCAAAGTCTGCGCCTATTGGCGCAGCAACTAAAATGGCTGTCGTCAGCGTTGATTTCTTACGAAAATACGGCAGAGCTGGCTTGATTGGGTTCATTTTGCGTAACGAGTTCATACAGTCTTTTTCAACGCTCAAAGGATTACTCGGTGACTTAGGTGATCTTGGTTTCCAAGATGCTGCCATTGGCACATATTACTTTATGGCCATGAACCGAGGAGACCGCGGTGCAGAGCCTGAGAGAGAGAAGAACAGTCATTATGGATGTGAATCAGTCTCGGACGAAGTTTTGGCAAAGATGCTAAAATACGCGCCTTTAGCTCTTCATGGCATCTATGAGGAGGACGTTTTGGACATACAACGCATAAGTCGATTGCAAGGGTTTCTACTCATATATGCACATGTTCAAAATCAGGGTGTTCGTCATCCTTCCTTTGCCTTACTGGGCAACAAGGAGACAAAGACCGCCCTTGTCTTGATTCGAGGCTCCAAATCGGTTCAAGATGCACTGACGGACATCCAGGCTTGTCCCGAAGAAATCGGTTTATCTTCGGCTGGTGCAGAAAGTGAAGCAACTGGTGGCTTTGTGGACGCATTTGCGCACAATGGAATGTTAAAAGCTGTGATGTGGATCAAGGACAGAATTATCAAGTCTCTTCGTGTTCTTCATAGTGAAGGTTACCAGCTCGTTTTTGCTGGTCACTCGCTTGGAGCTGGTTGTGCAACATTGCTGTCGGTCATGCTGCAGAAAGAGTTCAATGATCTTGAATGCTTTGCATACGCTGTGCCCGCGTGTGTGGACTTCAGTATGGCTGAATCGTGCGAAAACTTTGTACATTCAATAATTCTTCGAGATGATATTGTCCCTCGCGCCAAAGCATCGAATGTGATGAAGCTGGTTGAGGAACTTAAAAACTTCAAGGGGTGCTGGCGTGACACAGCGTTTGAAGATTTCGAGGCATTTAAAGACCGCGCAAAGACGTTGTGGGCACCGAGAAAGCGAGAGTGGGCCAAAGAAGCTGCTGATCAAAGGAGGGGGAAGCTTGCTAGGGGTACTGATTCCAAAGACACACTTTTATTGGCAGAGAAAAAGGCGAAGGAGAGTGAAAAAAATGAAGGCATCTCGACTTGGACACTAACGCGAACGAATTTGATTGACCAGCTAGACAAGATTGGAGATAAACAAAGCGAAGACGAGCCTTCAGATGAGATACTCAAGGAGGAGCACCAAATTGCTGCGGTGTTGATTACCAATCTGTATGATGATCCTAAGGAGCTTTTTGTTCCGGGTAAAGTGACACATATTTATTTTTACAAAGGTATTTATGAAGCCGTGCATGTTGACCGCAAGTGTGAAGAGCTATCGCATATTCCAGTGCAGCAAAACATGTTGAGTGATCATTTGGGCCGCAACTATTTAAGCGCTCTGCGTATTGTGCGTGACGCTCGTCGTGCCAAGCCTACGCTGCCCGACTGGACACCATTCAGCACAAAGACGCGCTGCATGTGCTGCGATTCGCCGTTTACGTGGAACTCGACGTCGTCCAGTGAAGCACAGCAGAACCGAGACCAGCACAATTGTCGACGCTGTGGCGCTCTCGTTTGTGAAGGCTGCTCTCAAAAATTCAGGTCGATTCCAGAATTTGGCATCAACGTGCCTGTTCGGGTTTGTGATCGCTGCTATTACGAGGTTTAGATTGAAGATTGAAGATTGAAGAAGAGAAGTGATCTATGGATTCTATCAGATTCTTTTTAGCCTAACTTGATCGGCAACCGCTGCTCTGTCCTCGTAGAATTTTCTCGCAATTTTGTCCTTAGCACAGAAAAAAAAATCTATTTTAGCTTGCCGTTACACTATATTTCGTCAATTTATTTCGCGTCGTCATCACAATTCGATAGGCCCGCCGTTCTTAGTCAACTTCTTCCAGCAAGTGAATGTCACAGAGATGACAGACTAAATTACCTAAAAAAAGGTCGGCAACAAGTACGATGACCACCGCTGTGTAGACTGATGGCGACCCCGAGAGATTCTACAGCGTCCTATACTATGTAGGAAGGCAAGCTACTGACAACTAAATCACGTCTATCAAGAAGTGATACAGTCTGAACCGAATGTGCTACTAGTTACTTTCTATAGATTCCCTGAATGTAAACCACTAAAACTACTAGGTGGGATATTGAGTGTTAGACAATGGAAAACCCTTCAAATTTGCTCGACCCATCCACTTTTTCCACCTTTGGGATGTGGTGCTATTGAAGGACCCATCAAGCTCTGGAAAAAGAATTTCGCAGCTTTGCTCATGTCTTGGCTTGAAAGCTTTACCATCGATCGCGATCGCAAACTCCTTAAATGCTCGACTGACCTGAGACGATACAGCTGTGGTCGTATTCATCAACAGTACCAGATCCTGAAGGTTGTATGAGGCAGTCGCGCTAACAAGAAAGACATGTGGTGAACGCAAACTGAAATTTTCCATCTTTATGTAAAACGCCATTGAGTACATATGTACTTTACTAACAAAGGCTTAAAATAACACCTCAAAAGCTTTAGTCTTAGACTTGAATAGAAAATCCCTTGTATAATAGCGGTAATGTCTTGCCACTCGTGACTTCAGGTCTGTTATAAAATTGGGAAGAAAGATTCAAGTATATTTTTCATAGATTTAGTGCCATTATTGACAATAGTAAATGTCAAATCAACGTTAACTAGAGCAAGTTAACTTAAATCTGCACTATATTGTTTCTGCACATAATGAAAAACGTTGAACACAAGATCAACGATCAAACGGAATCTAATAATTAAAGACTCACAGCTTCACTGTGACTGCTATAATACTTGAGCTTAACAGTCTTCTTAGGGTTCATCGACTTTTAAATGATGCCAACGCGACTCCAGATGTGACAAGCAGAATCGAAGAATTCACCCAGAGATTCATCATGACGAAAGATGATCGATCAAGTATCTCAAGTTCCGTTTGGTAGAGCACATCAGGGCTTACCATCACGAGCAAAATTGTAAATTCACCGCATGCTGAATGAGCTGCATCACTTCGCATTGGCAAAGATATCCTTCAGGGACCGGTTATTCCAAATTTGGAAGTCGCATAATTGACTCATATATAATATTACGAAAGTTCTGTAAAGTGGGTTTTCGGACAAACATGTCTTGGAAATAGTACTGGACACCTGTGTGCAAGTGGGCTTACACATATGTGATATGTGCGCACTTATAATTTGATCATTGCCTGCATCCTCGATAGGCTGAAAGCCCGTAAATATGGATTCCTCCCAAGTGATAATACTGTGAGAATGTCATCTGATGTTCAAAGACGGGCGAGACGGCGCATTTATCTGCGCGAATAAGAGCTCCGCCGTGATTCTGCTAGTTTCATTCGATGTTGCACCTGCAACCTTTGGAGAGTTTGATAAGTGTAATGAAAGACAGCGAATTCAACATGTGCGAGATCACGGGTCCATCTGTGAACAAATATAGTAAGATTGAGCTAGTACTCCGGTCAAAGACATGATATCGACCGAAAGATGATCAAAATACTTTCTACACGTGATGTTTCGGCTTCGTGTCAGCATTCGAGATTGCAATAGACCGAGACACTCAATTTATGCTCAAATTATGTCGCTCTCGGCTTTTGTTTAGAACACATAAGTATTTGTGTCAACAGCGGCTCTTATAAAGACGAACAGCCTGACTGAACAAGTGGAAGATGCATTGTGCAGTTTTGCGACGTCTTAAACGCTGAAGTGAGATTCACCTTTCTCGTAAATTTGCATTAAGCGACTTCTGACAGGCCGTACCCGCTCAGTGCTGGACATTTTTGCCAAAGGAAAAGCTACCTTTTGTGATATTGTCGTTTTTCGCACTTCTACAGAGATGTCGAAAAAATCGGGGTACTCATTTCCACTTCAGCTGTTTATCTTGCTCATTGGTCACTTGATTGTGCATGAAGAATGCACTGCTTTAAATTTTTTAATGATACGCGCGGTATTTGCATCCTTAGATGCAGTTATCTCAGCCACGTTGATGATTAAACCCACGCCTGATCGATCAAAGCCCTCCTCATTAAACGACTGAGCAAACTGCTATCCTTGCTTTTATTATTTATACACATCACGTTCAGCGTGGATTGAAGATTAAAATCAAAAGGGTACAGGACGACAAATTATCTCGCGCAGGGGAACATCATTGATACTTTTTCTGAACTAACGAGTACATAAGAGGGTTCCAAATGAGCGAACTACACTGGTTACGAGGCCAATTTGTCTTTACCAAATAAAAGCAAAATCGCTCCTCAGGGAATTCGTCGCATAATTCTCTTAATCAGACGTCATACTAGCTTGTCCAGGTCCATGAATTCTTATGTCGGGGCTTAGCAAGGATCAGAATTATCAAACAAATTATCTACTAAGTCTAGAGTCCAGAAAAACTAGAGAACCAAAGTTTCTCTGTGATCGTCCCTTCACAATTGCTATAATACCAATCATATGTAAGCAATTACTATTTATTTTTGTGACTACAACTCTCCATACATATTCAAATGCCGTCATCCAAGTTACCTGGCTTTGCCATTCCAAGTGTATAGAATGGATGGACAAAAGATGTTGCAGCTACCCTTAAATTTACAAACGATAGTCTTATGCGCTTGATGCCCCAATGGCACAACTGACAAGACATTGAGCCTGTAAGCGGCACACCCCTGGTATGAAGGATGTGAGTCACACAAGATTGTGTGATCACATAATGGTGTGGGTTACACAAAATGGTGTGAACACAGGACGGTGTCGTCAGGTTAGGGTGTGGTTACTCTTGGAGTAAGTGAATTGCGATCCGCTACACTCGTACTGGTTCCAAGTATAGAACGAAGGTCACCGACCTTAACCAAGCTTCCTCTCAGCAAAAGCCCGCTGCACTTGGTAGCACTTGTAGTCTATGTACACCTGAGTCATTTCGACCTTCTCTCTGTGAGGATAAAGCAGTTCATTTAAATACTCCAGGGCATGCAGGACGGGCTTGAAAAGCTGATGTCTCTGCTGGGCCCTGAGGGCGTGCAACATTTCGCTTCGCAAGCACCTGAAGCGATAAGCGAGCGCCTAGAGGCGTTTTCAAGTTATGGAAATGCTCTGCTAGAGCACCTACAGCAGAAGATATCGGTGTCGACAACGTCCATGACGCCATCGTCGACGACGGATGACTCTCTCCGTCCCAAGCCGCTCATTGTGAGTGTTAAGACCTTCGAGGGCAAGGATGGAGAGAATTTTCAGCTCTGGATGAGAGAGGTCGAGATGGCCAAAGGTCTGCCATGCTCCAGACTGAGCAGCAGCGCGTGGCCCTAGCTATCTCCAAGATCGGTGGTCGAGCGCGAGAATGGGCCCTGACGTGCGGCACTTCGGTCGAAGCGGCGAATTCCTTCTAGACGGAGCTGATGCTGCAGCTTTCACGAGTGTTCTCGCCACCTAACCAGGCATATCGCGTCCAATCGCGTTTTCTTGCCGCCCAACAGGGCAAGAAGTCATTAGTGGACTTTATCCTAGAGCTGCGTACTCTCATTGCCAGTATGTCAGCCGTATTTATGGAAGGCCTCCGTCCTGGCGTAGCCAGAATGGAAGTCTTCCGTATGCACCCGTCTTCTTCTGAAGAATTAGTGAGCGGGGCTTTGAATGCCAACTTCAACTTTGAGTCACGACTTGGTTGGAATGCAAACTCTAGCAGCTCGCCGAGCGGGCCTGGGCCGATGGATCTCAGCTCTGCTGAGGATGAGAAGGGAGTGCTCCAAGCCGCCGAGCTGCGTTCGAGCACCCAACGGGGGTTTGTCTGTGGAGACTCCTGTCACCTTCGAACTGGTTGTTCCCTGCGCAACGCGCGTAAAGGTTCTGCGAGCAGACGTCCCAATTCTTACCAGTTCGCGAGGAAACGAGGAAATACAGTAGGCGCGGGGCGCCATACTTGGTAAGAACTGAGTTCTGTTGTGCCTCATAGTGGTAGAGGGCAGCAGGGTCCAGCCCCGAAGAGCTACGTGCTTTTGAACACGGATCGTGTGTGCAAGCCGGGCTTGCTGGTCTTGGAAATTATCGTGAAGGCCTTTGAGAAGCCATGAAAGATCCCGATCGACTTCGGGTCATCGGACAATTATATTTGACGCTCCGCAATAGAAGAAAGTCAGATGTATGCTGAGGCGCTGAGGGTGCACTTGAGTGACATCGTCACTATTTGCTTAGCGACGTGGACATGTGTCACGGTACCGAGGGTCCCTTTGTACCTCAGTGTCAAGTTTCTTGGCTTTGATACCGTGAAATCTACTGAGTCTTAGACTTGTATTCAATGTATAGCCTCATCCTTGGTATGGCATGGTTGGAACACCATGATCCTTGGATAGATTGGAGTTCGACAACCTTGGGTGCTATGCGCACGTCTCCTGGTAGCGCTTATGTGAGTCATTATCCCACCTCCGCAAGGAGGTAAAAATGCTATTGGCGCGGGCACTGGACCGAGGCAGTCAACGTGCTGGAGATCGGAGTATCCGAGTTATGGGCGCGGCAGTACCGTCAAAGCGCGCATATATCTTCAAAGCTTGCAGCACATGGTGGACGCACTCCGCCGCGATCTCAGAGTTGTCGCGGGCATCGAAGGCCTTTTGAATGTTTGAGATGGCGTTGATGGCGACCACTCCGATTCTCTCCAAGAACGATCACTGGATCCAGTACTTCACGGATCAGCCTGTCTAGTAAATCGCAGTGCACCACCACACGCGCCTTTTGCACCCAAACACGCTGCCCATGTTGCTGCGGTCAGACATAGGCTCACGATGCATGATGCGGTGATGCGAGGTACAATAGCAGGGTCACCTGCTCGATGATTTGGAAGCTCTACAAGATTTAAAGGCTACTACCCTGATGACACGTCGGTGCTGAAAACCTGCATTGCTGACGATGGCTCGGTGACGACAGGTTCGAGTGCCGCGGCGACTCGTGGCCAATGGCCTTTATACCAGCTCGCCTGGAATGGCACTAGTCCCTTGACTAATATTACTAACGGTAACAGGAAGAACTGTCACCCCTTCATTGACCACTCGGTGTCCTACATCCACGAAACCAAGTTCAGTGACGCGCAACACCTATCGACGTTCAACTTCCATCTCGACTCGAGCTTCACACACAAGCTCTTTGTCGATGACCCAAACGCACTGTTGGATCGACCTACTCGTGGTCGAAGCAGAGGAGTGATGACCGTACTACGCTCCGACTTCCCGAGTTTCGACTCGGCTATCGTTGTATCAACCTTGTATGTTTTCGGACGTTACCTCGTTGTGAAGGGGATGAATGACCTTGTTCCCATTTACATCCACAATGTTTATGCGCCCGCCCGTCGATCGCCAGGAGGAACACCAATAATTTGTGTGCTTGGATACTGATTAGTTTGAGGATGACGCGATACATTATGTGCTTGGTAACCTGAATATGCCGCTCGATCCTCAACTCGACTGGTCCATGCCCGACTTGCGCTACGATCCAAGTCGATCCAGCTGCCTCTGGAGGTTAGCGAAGCTTGATGTTATAGACGCATAGCGAATACATCATGACGAGAAGCGCGAGCTCCTAGTCCACTAACACGAAAGAACCGATCGGACTACGTGCTGATGTCGGAAACATTCTGCAGTCGCTACTACGGCTTGCCAGTTATTTCTTGCCGATGCATGCTGGAGACCACTTCGCGCTCAGCGTGACGTTTCGATCCGGCACACAGCTATACGGTTGTGGTAACTAGAAGCTCCCCAGATACTGGCTCGGCTACCCCGAGGGTTGTCTCGGCAATCGAGAAGGAAGCTGATATGGTGTGTGACAGACCCCAACTCGCCGACAATCCGAGCAAAGTCTGGGACGAGTGGGAAATGCGCATAAAAAACAACTGCAAGATGTGCAGAATAAGCTCCGCACTTAAGACATACAAGCCGACGAAAGTGCCCGAATCGCACTGGATTAGGCTGCTGCACGGCATCATGCTTTCGTCGGATGAAGACGACCACGAGCTCTTTGACGAAGCCATGCGCCATTACAAGAAGACTGTCTTGTGAACATACTAGGACCATCAAGATACTGCGTTTGAATTTCAAGCAGCCAACTCTGAGCATTAGACGTCGCACTTCTTCGGTCCCTTGGATGTGGGCCTACGCAAGATCTCTATGGAAGAAGGTGAGACACCAGATTGGAGTGTCTTGACGAACCCACACGAGATCTCTCTCCGCTTCGTGGAGCACTAAGGGTCAGAGATGAGTGACCCGGACAGTCCGTCAGGATGAGCTCCACCACCAGACGAAGAAATGCAGCGTGAGCTTCTCGTCTCGATCACGCACTTTGTCTCGGAATCCGATCGCTTGTTGCTTGACGCAGACTTGACTGCGGCAGAAGTTGTATGCGCGATCTGGCACATAAAGGCATCGTCAGCACGTGCCATGGACGGCTTGACCGCTGGGTTCTATAAAGTGGCTCCAGACGTCTTTGGCGAGTGTCTCGCGATTGTCTTCAGCGACCGGCTACATCGTGGTGAGTTCCTCGCGTCCCCGCCTTAGTCAGCTGTCGTGCCGCTGCAAAAGAAGAGCTCGCGCGGTGTGCCAGGCAATTACCGGCCAATCACCATTAGGCCCGTTAACGTGTAGGCACTGTTGAAGGCGCTAGTGCGTCGCATGATCATGACAGTCGGTGACTTGATCCATGCTGATCAGAAAGGCTTCGTCAAGGGCAGCTTGATCCACAACGAAATACGCTTCGTGACAGCTTATAAGATCTCGTCACGAGCCGTGACGAAGAGGTCTGCACGCTGTTCCTGGATTTCCAAAAAGCGTTTGACAGCGTCAATTGGGCGTACATGTTCCATTTGCTCTAGCGCATGGGCTTTGGACCCGGCTTCATCCGCTTGATCAAGCTTTTAAACGCAAAACTGCAAGCGCATTTGCTGATTAACAACAACGTCCAGCCAGCGATACACTGCACGCGAGTCGTGAAGCGAGGATATTCGTTCTCTGTGCTTATTTTCGTCTTGACGTTTGTGCCTCTCGCTAATATGCTGCGGTCGCACGACAAGCACCGAGTGTGTCTAAATGCAGACCACACGGCGACTGAAATCTTCTTTGCAGACGACTTGACGCTCCTTGCTAGCTCAATTCCAAACTTGCAAGCGCAACCCGACATCGTCAATAAATGCTGTCTAGGTTTTGGCGCGAAGATCAACTTGTCCAAGTCGGTGCTGCTGGTCTGAACCAAAACCAGATGTGGCCTGCACTTCCGGATGTATTTTAGTCGCGTGGTCACGGTCAAGTATCTGGGCATCCCGTTCAGGCAGAAACCAGTTGCTGACAATCATAGAGTTTCATGATCAGCACTTTTACCGTGGCTTCTAAGCTTGGTATAGACGCACGCACACTTCGTGGTCGTCTCCTAGTTGCGCAGACGATAGTTCTTTCACGCTTGTGGCACTATACACAGCACATCGTGATCGCCGGCGACAGTTGTGCATCGATCGCAGGTGGTGCTGAACCGATTTGTCCTAAGCCGCAAGCAAGTTCGCGCGCTTTCGCACATGCGGTTCTAGCTCAAAATCGTAT